CGCTGCAAAAAACGCATAAAAACCATAATGAAGCTAAAATTGTAGAAGTATTTTCGGAGGAATACATGTGTCCGGGGAATGTGATGCATTTTGATCTGAAACCGTGCAATCCACGTGAGCGAAATCAGTGTCCACAGAATTTTGCCTGCAGGAGAAGCCGTTTATTAAGGGCCGGTACCGAAACCAATCAAGTGATTCACTTATGCTGCGAAGCTATAAACATGACTATTGGAAATTGTAAGTCTTACGGGAATATTTTAACGAAGTGACAGAGTGAATGAAAAGGCATCCATGGCTATCTTTGCTGCCCAGTGATATTTTCTGGAGAGTGCTCAAAAAGAAAACCAAGAAATTTAGCAAAACCCTTTAAAATTGGCAGGAGGTGAACTGCATCAAGAAGCTAAAGCTGTAATGCTCAAAAAATGGCGAGTATAAGCAGATGGGGCCTGCTAAAACAAATGGCGCTCCGTACCAGCACAGCTAGTGCGATCATGTGTTCTGCGCAACTTTGCCCAGCGAACGCTTGTGCAACTCTGATGGCAGGAGCTTGAGCAACATGCTGTTAGGAGTGTTCACTGCTCTACTGTTTAATATGTATAGAAATTTCGGCGGTCCGTGTTACTGATTTTGATGCTAAAAACTTCCCGCGTCCCTGCGTGAGTCCCAGACACGAGCGAGCGTTGAATTTGAGTTTGCTAGGTCTTACGCAGTCAACAACCGCTCTTCTAAATCTCGGTTTTTCAAGCCTTCGTGGCTCCCGAGCTACTAATTCCGGCGCCAAAACGTCTGCAAGACCGCACCTGAGACGTAGGCATGGACGAGCGCTGAATTTTAGCTCAGTTTCTTTGCTTCCCGAGTTGAAAACCCGGACGAAATACACTTGGAACATAAACACTCAAACACAGACCCACAGATGAGTGCCAACAATATGCGTTTTGTGAAAGTGTTACAGCACAAAACGCATAAAAGGTGCCATTTTAGTGCTGAGGGCTTTGTTAGCCAGTGATTTGACGAAGGTATTTTTTTCTGTCTTAAACGGGAGAAGAGGACCAGTAATTCGTCACTTTCCTCATTTCCTGGGATTAATGGAAGCGATTCATACATGTTCTTTACTATGTAGAGAACTAATTCTTGAGTGTGACCAGTTTTGCATAAAGCTTAGTTCTTTTTCTAGTGAACGCATGCTTGTCGAAAAAATGCAAAGCTGACAGGATGTCGGAAGAGAAGGATTATGAAATCAACAAAATTCACTCGCTTTTGAGCCTGCAGTAGTATTTGTTATGTTCACATGCAGCGAAATTCACTTCCAAACTGAATTAAGTCCACCCCACATAAATATAGAATATCTCTGCAAAGTTTTAGCTTTGCAGCTTGATCGATTAGCAAAATGTCCACTTCGCTACAAAAACCTTTGAATCACCCTAAATCGTGACGCAATGCTAATCGAAATTCTGTCTAGTTGTACGATTTTCCATACGGACGATAAATGTTCTGACAGAATTTTACCTGCTGATTTCACACTAGTTTTCGAGTTGACAAAATGCTTACTGCGAACTTTGACGTGAGTGTAGGCACAGTGCAGGCGTACGCGATAAATGATTTGAAATCTTTACTATATACGTTTGTACAGAATATTTCTGTAAAGTTTATATTTTCTATCTATTCTGGTTCACGAAGTCGTTTTTTGCCAAAGAAATTTGCAGAGTTTTTTCGGGAATCCATACACGAAATCTAGATTTGTGTGAGCGATGACTTTAAAACGGGAGGTGACACATACAGCGGGAATATGCCACCATAATTTCAGCCTCCCGGTTTTCCTGGTTGCTAAATTCAAAAAGGGTGACAAAGGTCACTCGCCTCCTAAACACACACACGTATGAACGACCTCTTAACATCTCGCTGTAGCAGCCTGTAACTCCTGCATTCATAAATAATTCTCAACCATCCGCTTATCATTTAATGGCTAGTGGACCCTCTTTCAGTCTGAAAAAATCTTTTTTGAAGATATGAAGAAGTGAATATACGGTAATGTATCACAGCAAAAAAGTAAAAGTTATTTGAAGGGCTCGAGGAACTGGAACTTTCACCTCAAATAATTCCAGAACCGCCATTATCAACGCTGGATTACGTAAGTGTGCATGAAGTAGCACTCTTTTCGGCCTCTGATTAATACTTCTGCTCTTCTTTTTGTCTGTGAATTTCTTTTAGTAATTACACATTTCTGACCTCGCGTTTTGAACCATTTTCTAAAATTACGGCAACTTTCCATTTCTAAAATGGCTGAAAATTACATTGGTGGCGCAGAGGAAATGAAAAATACATTTTAAATAAATAGCGGCGGGCATTAGGGTAACTAATACGATCATACGCTTTGCGCAGTTTCGTTCAGCGAACGTTTGCCTACTAAAGATTTAACTGTTTTACATTTGCATGTGTGCAAAAATAGTTGATATGTTTTCTTGCTGTTAAGCTGTGAAATTTCTCGCTAAAAATTTCACGTAGTAGTACGTGAAAACTGAATTTGAAACATTAGACGGGGAACATCCTTCCAAATTTCAAACTCCTAGTTTTCCGGCCAGCGAATCATCGACTTTCGCACCAAAACTCACATGTGGTCCTACGTGATACGTCGGCATACTTGGAAACTAAGTTTGAGTTTGTGAGATCTCTACATAGGCAAAAAAAGTCCTCCTGAAATTTCAGTCTCACAGCTTGCCTGGTTCCCGAGATAATGATTCCCCCTCCTTCCTCCCCCTCCCACCACTAAAAGTTTCGCGGGATCGTACAAGAGACCCAGGCGTAGATGAAAGATGAATTTGGATCTGAAGGGTCCCATGTGGGTAAATGACATTCTCCCACAATTTCAGCTTCCTTACTTTTATGGCCTCCGAGA